TCTAATTTAAATAACCATCAGCCTATTTCTTTTCACTCTAGCTTACCTAGAAAGAAAAAATAATGTGCATTTTTAGGGTGTTTTTTGCTGTCTCTGGATGAATTTAATATAGTGGTACTAGAAGAATGAATTTTCAAGCTGTTTATATCCCAAGATTAAATTAAGTTTTTTTCAGAATACCTGTATGCTAAATTACATATTGCTTAATAGAAAATGTATTCTTACCAGTGACTCACCAATTAATCATATTCATTGTTTTGCATAAATGGCATTCTTGTTTCATTTTTGTTTGGCTTTGTTTGGTTGGTTTTTGTTTTGGTGAAGCATTCTCTGAACATTTGAAAACAGAGGTTTCTCAGCAACCGGGGGAATCTGTTATGTTCATTTTTGGATCTCAGCATTTTGCGGTCCATTTTTTTGCAGTCAAAATTCTTCTGTGCTGTTAGGTAGGTCTGCCTTAGGGATGCAGCCTTTGTACTCCAAACAGGCCTAGGATTAAATGATTAAGGCAGTTTTCTCTTTCAAAAGAAATGTCCTGTTCATGCAGTTTTCCAGGTCCCAGAGGCAGAAGGAGCCAGCAGGCTTAATGTGCATTGAAGCCTCAGTCTTTCACATGGCACGACAGAACTATTGAGCAAAGTAAAAAGAACTGTATTTATCCTGGTGAACTGAATTTAATAGGAAACTGTAGCACAAAGAACAAAAACCAGAAAGACCCTACTACCATCAGAGCAACTACAAAGTTGCTCTGATGGTTTGTTTTGATGGTCTTTAATATACAATGCTATCATGTTTCATTGAAAATCATGAAACTATTTTCTGCATTGAGTCTAGTAGATTACAATTACCTGTTGGTTTTTGTTTATTTTCATGAAGATATGATGTATTTGTGAGGACTCTCACATAAAGATTATTGATTTGCAATTCAGTTAATTTCGGCATTTATCTGAAAAGAGCTGAGATTGAAGCTTTTTATTGTTAAAGCAATAGATAATTGACCACATAAATGGTCTCTTTCATTTGTGAAACTTCCAAGTTTTGCATTTGAGTTTAAAAATCATTTTTGTGAATGCTACTGAATATGATATTTTTTTTTTAAATTGTGGATGTGTCTTCTAATATATTCAGTAAAGAAATGTTCATTTGGTATTAATATGTTATTTTTAGGTATTCTGAAATAGCTGTTCACAATTTGCATGGAGAAAGCACTTGTTGTTTATCATACAGTATGCTTAAAGGGATATGTTAATATAGAAAAAGAAATATGGTTCATGCACTCTCCCATAAAGGTACCCACTGTCATAGCTGTGCAGCTTCCTGAAGATGCTATGCAGTGAGTCAGAGAGGAGGGCTGAATCACAAAAAAAAGAAAGAGAAACTGGCTGTATGGATGCAGTTAAAGTAGAAACATTTCTGTATTTGTTTGTGAAATGGTAAATAAGACTGATTCTGAAGAAATGCTCTTTATTGCACTTAGCAGTTGCTGAAATAACTGGTTTTGGAAGGGCTTTGTAGGTTTAGTTCGGTTTTTCTTTCCTATATATTTTGTGTTTAACTCTCTTCATTTTTATTTTCTCATTGCCTGTGAATTGAACTCTTCTTATGCTTGAATTTATTACTTTGACTACCATTAATTTATACTCGGGCTTATATCAGTTAAGTGACTATTCTCATTTGCTGAAGAGAGGAAAGGCATGCTCTCCTGAGCTATATTTCTTCTTGTGGAAAGTAAACAAATTATGTTTTTTAGTCTCTCTCTATTTCAAACACTACTTTTTCCTTGGAAATATATTTTTTCACAGAAAGACTATTGGAAAAAAAAAATCTTTTTTTTTCCTTTGAGCTCTGGTAAGGAATGTCATACTGGTGATTTCTGTAGGATTGCTAGAGTTCTAATATATCATTAGACACATTGCACTTTGTGAGTTTGTAACATTTAAGAGAAGTCAGTCATTATCTTTATTTATACTAATATACGTATACTTTGCAGGTGTGTTGTAATAATTATAATAAAGGCTTTCTATTATGAAACTCCTTCTTGAATTTTGAAGGCACCCATAATGATCTGTTTCATATGTGAATTCCAGCAGGGGTCAAAAAGCCTCAAATCTTCTTTGAAGCCAAGCTGAGTTCTCTTTAGTGTTCATGGAACTTCATTATTTGAACAAAATGATGCATCTCTATGAAACAAGCTAAGGCTTCTCTGTTTTTCGGTCAAAATTATTGAGATGTGAGTGGATATGATGTGTAGCACATCCATTTGATTAAGATGTCTGCTGTTTTAGAACAGCAGTTAAGATACTTGAAATCAGGTGAGATTGGTATGCTTGGGAATAAATGGAAGGTGAAAGAGATTAGGCTGTGGTGGTAAGGATTTGTAGCAGGCAATGGGAGGTTCTAATAGGTTTATGACAGGAAACTGCTAGCAGGGAGTGGGAGTGCAGCACACTTTTCCTTGGTCTCCTGTCTTCATGTGCTTAGCTCTTCCAGAACAAGACAGAGAATATCTTGCCTTGTGGCATTGCCTAGTCTTTTCACTTTGCTTCCCTTTAACAGCATCATATAGCCTTTGTCAGGTAAGTAAAAGGACAGCAAGAACTAAATTGAGGTACCTAAATTTAGGGTAGCATTGTGTGGTTACAGTAGGAGTTGATGATCTTGAAGGTCTTTTCCAACCTGAGCAATGCTATGATTCTATTATTCTCAATCTTAAAATATTTGTTCAGTTCTTCAGTTGTGTGGTAACTTGTGAGGATCCTGTTAAATTCTGGCTATAGAAGCCCTACATGAGGGGTAGGTGTGCACTGCAGCTGGAATGCGGAGCTTCCAATGCGGAGCATTTAAAATCAGCTGAGCTAGTGTAGGTGCTAGAATTAATCTATGTGTGATGGCAAGTTCTTTCCTAGAGAGTTATTTACAGATTTCTTGGCAGGAGGACATAGCCCATGCAGAGCTTCCTGATGTTGCAGATAGAAAAAGGAAAAAGCTATCGTGTAGATACAACATAAGCACGAGTCTGAAGTCTGAGTACTGCAGAAGCACTCTTTAAAGCAATGATCTGTGACTGCTTAGCAGCTCTGATAATTAGGACTAATCAGTCATTGTTTTAAGAATTTTAAAATATATATGACTTTAAATAATCTTAATTCTCCAAAAACATACACAGCCTATTCTTCTTGCATCCTGCTACTTCCTACCATTTTTGCTTGAATGATAATACAGTGGCAAAATCATTAAAAACAGTAATTTTGCAACAGTTGTTTTGGATGCTTCTTTCCAAGTTTTGTTTTCGATGTATACCATGTCAGAGCAGTCAGTTTATCTGCAAATTGAAATTGTAGGAGCTGGCAGTAATCTAAAGTAATTGTCAGGTAATAACTTGAGTAAATTTTAAGGCATGGCAGTACATTCTTTGGGCATCCTATAGGTGTTCTTTTTTTCTTTTTAATAAGCTATGTGTCACCCATGTTTATTTTTTAAGAGGAAATAATTCTCGCCTTACGGTGTTAAGAGAATGCAAACAGTTCTTATGATTAATTATCCTGCTTCTTTGGCACCAATGCATGATTAAGTTTGACTTGGTTTTGTGATTACGGATACGTTTAATTTACTGCAACTATTTCTTGTAGCTCTCTGGTTTTACCTGGTGCTTTAAGGTTACATGCAGTATGCTGACAAGTGAAGGCCATAACAAATTGAAGTCAATGTTTCCTATATAGGTCTTAAATTCTGTTGGATAAACTATAAATTCCAAGGCAGAGAAACAGACATCAGCAATTGTGTTGACGGTTTATGGAAGCTAGCAGGATCCTTGCCCTGCCTGAAGTTCCTGAATTCAAGAAAACTACCAAAAATAATTGGTATATTAAATACCATAAGGTTGCATATGCCTTCTCAAAAATAACATCTCTGGGGAGGTGCTTGTTGGGGTTTTCCACAGTTTCTTATAATGCTTTAATAATGGCAGTAGGCTTCAATTTATTGAAAAGTTTATGTTTGTGTGGAAAGTACACATTTGAATAACTTTTGTAAGTAGATTTTGTGAATAATTTTTTTAACCATCTGTAATAATTAGGTTATTACATTTTCTGAAGTTTCTTCAACCATTCCTAGTGGATCCAGACTATTTTGTGGCCCGCTAGAGCATGAGCTGTGGTGAGGATATAAGAGCTGTCTCTCAGCTTCATGTCAGAGGATGTGGCAAGACATCACCTCTGTCCTTTTCCATCTACTCCCTTCTCTTTTCCTCTTCCAGACATGCACTGGATGACAGGACACAGCAGGCCAGGATTTAGGGGCCTAGTGCTCCTCAGCTTTCTGTAGATAATTTTCTTGTTCTGTGCTTGCAAGATGTTGAATTGAGAGCAAGATGTTCCACTGGAGTAGAAATTGCCCAATTTCCAGTGCTGTGCTGAGAAACTGGGAAATTGAGAAACTTCAGCCTTGCTAATCATTCACCTGGCAAGTCTCTTCCACCTGACTCGCTGATAATCCCAGGTGTAGGTTCTGTTATATGACAACCACACACTTGGATTTCCATGCTGTGCCAAATTCGTAAGCTGAATAGCAGATGTGGAGGAGAGTAGAAAATAGAGACTGTGTATGCTGTTTTATGCTTCTTTAGGAAAAACAAAACAAAGCAAAAACCAATGAACTTTAAGTACCTGTGTAAGGTAAGCCAAGCAAGTAAAATGTTACACTGCTCTCCAATTTTTCTATTAGCTAATCTATAAAGAGTTGAAAGCAGCTGTTCCACATGAGTGGTTGCCCACTGATGATGAATGTTTTAACTCACATGGGAAGGCAATAGCATCTCACACAGTGTAAACATCTGTAAAAGTAATAGTGCAGACTTCTGCCTTCACCTTTCCTCCTCTCTTGGGAAGCTTAAGAGAAATAGAATTGTTTTTCAGGTTTTTTTTTTTTTGCATTGTGTTTTTTTTTTTTTTTTAATTTTAAGTGTGACTAACAATATTTTTTATTTTTGTTTCTTTGCCTAGGGTATTTACGTGAGGGATGCACCTTTGAAGAACATAAAAGTGTTCAATGTTCGACGATTTGTAGCTCTTTTTAATGTGGTAAATGCCACGAAGCGGGATGCTGGCAACTATCGCTGCATGATTCGAACAGAAGGAGGGGTTGGAGTATCGAACTATGCAGAACTAATAGTGAAAGGTATTTCACAATCAGATCACTATTTTGTGGCTGGAGTATTGAATGAGGACCTGCAATTGCTAGTTTACTAAGGATGTCACCCATAGTTCATTACAACTGATAAAAGGTTCAATAGATAGGCTGTTCATGTAAATTGTAGGAGTTTATCCTGCTGTAGCAAGGAAATGACAGGAGAAACCAGAGCTAACTGGTTAGTTGAGGATTGTTCATTTAAATATTTCTCTCAAATGTAGTGTACAGACAGCATTTCTGGTTTTCAGAGCATAAGACTTTTTGGAAGATATGAATCTAATATTGTCTATTTACTTCCATGGTGGAGATAACATTTAAAAAACTATACTTAGTTCAAAATCTGAAAACTTTACAATGAAAGAAAACATTTTCCAACATATGGAGAAAGATTTTTTAAAAAACATCAGGAAACTCTTATGTGTGAATAAAACGGGCATAAGGATGTCCTTCCTTGTAGAAAATGGTGCTAAAACAATATCTTAATATTAATTGGTTTTGTTTGTTTCTTACTTTACACTAATATTTTGGAGGAATGTAGTGCTATTTTTGTTCTTTTAGAGCAAAAAGAAAGATATTTTCTAGGACCAAATCTGGTGAGCCACATTACTGTGCTATGTCTTCCCTTTCTGGTCAGTTCTGGGCCTAAAAAAGAAAAAGTGAGATGAAGGGCTTTTTCTCTCCCTGAGAACAATCTGATCCAAGTTGGCAAGGACAGAAATTAAATCCACTGAAGGTCTGGATTTTTCCACTATGAATTAGGAAGGACACAGTTGCATCTACTATGCATTCTCTCACTTTAGAAACCATGTCCCTTGTTGAATAGTATTCTTTTCTTTTGGCTCTACAGCTATAAGAACATATAACTGTTCTAATGATATTAAAGAAGTGTATAGGTGAAGGACTAACACAAGTAAGAATCTAATTCTTATGTAGTATTTTTGATACTATGCTTTCCAAATTCTGCTATAGGTTTTATCTTTTGATTTAAGATACATTTCTTATGACACAGTCTTATAAGTAAAGAATCAGCACATACTTCAGGATGGTTCTCCTCACAAAAAGTAGACCGTGTAAGGAGCTTTACTATTAGTTGATCTTGGATTCACTCCTTTATTTCCCCTACCTCTTCAATAATTTTGCATGCTGATAGAAGTGTATAATTTTTCAGACCTTTTAAATGATATGATCCTTTTCCCAAATTATTTCTGCTTTTGTTCAGGTAATTTATATGTAGGTTGATAAGCGAAGTATGGAATAAGTGTTATATATCTGAAAATGTATCATAGATCTTGTCTCTGAAGACAATATAGAAAGTATACGTAAGTATACAAGAAAGAAGCATTAAAGGAGAAGTTTGAAGAACAGCAGGAACAGTAAATAATCAAACTTAAAAGTTACAAAAGAAAAATGAAAGTGAGGCAGAGAAGAGGACAGTAGAATTTTCACGGCGGAAAAGTAGGAAGGCTAATGGTTAGGCTGTAGGTATGCTTGAGTTTTTTCAATTAAATAAAACTTGGGGGAAGATATACTTAAGAAAAAAATGGGGAGTGGAATAATAGAAAGATGGGATCCCTAGAACAGTGTTTATAAAATAAATGTGGGATTAGGAATTTTTTTTAGTTTATTGATGAAGAAGAAGCTTGGATTATGGGTTAGTTAGCTTGGAGAGTAATTAGTCACTAGTAGAAGATGCAAGAGATATATAGAATTTAGGAAAGAAAGAAATGTATGCACCCTACCAAGAATGATAAGGCATCTTTCAGACTTTTCAGCATTGCAAACCAGAGGGATAAATGAGACTGAATGAGACAGATAAAAGATTGACTGCGTTCATGACAGGAGATACAGAAAACCAAAGTAGTTAAGTGTTCTCAATTTCTTTGATTTAGGGTGCTTTAACTTATTAGTGCTCCTTTGGTGGTGCAGTAGATGAAATTATGAAGCATATCATTAAAGCACTTGTGTTTATCCAGATTCTTTCAGAAAATTTGCATTGAGCACTCTGAGCAATTGGATAGCCTTAGGGTGTAATCCCATTAACTACTTGTAGAGTGGCAAAGTAATTATGGTAATCCCTGTTGCCTGTATTGGAGCTTCTATGAGAGCACCTGTAGGTCATTCCTTCTGACTTAAAAAGGCCCATATCAAGCATTGTGCTGTAAAACCTTAGATGACTATAGTTAAATAGCCACATTAGGAACTAATTATTAATTAGTAAATATGCTTTCTTTCTGATAGTGTATAATTAAGAAATTGTATTTCCTATTTTTTTCAGCAGCTTTTCTGCAGTGTTAGTTGGCAGAATTGAAATCTAATAGATTGATTTAAGTGCAGCAAAATATATTTTAGATCATCACCATCAATAAATAATGAGAAATATACATATACCAATATTGCATGTAATGTTTAGTCTACTTGGGAATTATTGATGGCTTAATAATAGTATGTGTAGAAACAGTGATGTAATTATTCCCCTCACTTTGTTGGAAAAGAAGAATCTAATTTTCTTCTCATTTGCATTGGGGTAACCAAGATGACTAAGTGGAATTTCCCTGGAATTACATTGCTGTGCTGATAGGAGAGTCAAACCTGGTAGTTAGAGAGTCGTCTCACAGAATCACTGAATGTGCAGGTGTTAGAAGGGACCTCAAGAGATCAGCAAGTCCAACCCCCTCTCTAAAGCTGGTATCCTATAATAGGGTCAAGATCTTGAATATCTCCATAGAAGGAGACTCTCTAACCTCTCCACGGCAACCTGTTCCAGTGCTCCATCACTCTTACCGTAAAGGAGTACTTCTGCATGTTGTTTCAGAACTTACTGTGTTCAGGTTTTAGGCCATTGCTCCTTGTCCTATTGCTACACATGACCAAAAAGAGCCTTGCTCATCCATTTGCCTCCCACCTCCCTTCAGGTATATATAAACATTAATAAGATCCTTTCCCAGTCTTTTTTTCCCCAGGCTGAACAGTGCCAGATTACTCAGCCTTTCCTCACACGGGAGATGCTCCAGGCCCTTTATATCTTTGTGGTGCTCCACTGGACTCCTTCTAGGAGATCCCTGTCTTTTTGGAACTGGGGAGCTCAGAACAGGATGCAGTATTCTAAATCTCATCGCATTTATTGTGCTGTCTTTCCTTTTCTTCACTAAACTTGTAACACAAATTGAAAATAAACAAATAAATAGTTTTTTTTTTTTTTTTTTCCAAAATGCCTTTGCCTTTAAATAGAGACCTAAAGACATGTGCACAGTAGAGTAGGTTACTACTTTGTACAGTGTTCACAGTACTTCATTGGAGGCATAGTTCTACTAAATAGGAACTTCCTGTATGTGGAGTCTGAATACTTTCTTATGTAAACATCTTTAAAGTCTGCAGTGTTGCCTTGATACGATGTCACGTAGACTGGAGGCCAGATCCAAGAACTTTTGAAATCAGCAGGAAGAATTTTAATATCAGACATTGCAAAGCAAACCTGAAATCACAAAGGAATAGGAATTAAATCTTAATTTTGAGGATGATGTATACATAGGAACATTTGCCAGCTTCTTTTATGTCTTTTTTTTTTTTTTCTTTTTTACCTGAACAGATATGGTTCTAACAAGGTTTATTTGCTATGAGGGGAAGGAGGGGAAAGCAATTAAAAAGCTGTCAGTTAATCCCATGTTATCTTGTTAAAGAACTGTAAACATGAATATTGTCTGTTTAGTGAGCAAAACCCCTGTCAGTGAACAATTAGCTGAGCTCTAAGTGTGAAGGAAAAAAAAAAGGATTTTTTAAAAAACTTGTTTCTGTTCTCTTATGTCCTTTAGAGAGTGGTGAAATAAAGCATTGATTGCTCTATTTAAATAAATCTCAAATAGGAAATTTTCAGTTTTACCCAAGTGTTTGTTCTGATAGGAAAGGCTGAAAAGACAAGTGCTTTGTCTTGTGCATGTGTTCAAACTACACAGTATCCTCATCTAAGTTTGTCAGAGAACTGGATTGAAATGTCACTTTATCTAATGGGAGACATGAAATTGGTCTTGTCAGATCACCCACTTATTATAAAAAGAACAGCAGTTTATATCTAATAGGTGACATAAAAGTAATCATACACTGAGCAAAAGGAAAATAGTAAGGTGGAATTGATTAAATGTATTTGCTGAAGTAAATTAGATTTCTACGTAGAGTCCCCATGTTGAATTTTTCTAATAGCGGGCAGATCCAATGCAGATTGGATTTAGAAGAACAGAATGAGCTTGTCTGAGCAGACACCAGATTATTACAGAGTTCAGACTGCTTATTGAGTTCAAACAAGGTAAACCTAAGTGTCAAATTGGTTAAAGGGAATTTTGTTAGATTTTTAAGTGAGGGCATAGAGAGGTAGCCATCTGTAATGTTGGCAGCTTAAATGTCTGCATCTTTTCAAATGAAAGATTTAACACCAGAAACAGAACTGGTGATCATCTGAACCCGTAGAACAAAGTCTGTATTCTGGAGGGCAAAGTCATTTTGAGATCAGGACAAGGGAAGTAAATATTAGAAATTGCTTATCTGAGGTATTGGCTGCTATCCTACATTAGATACACACAGATGCGTAGATCTGTTTTCTCTTTTGCTAATGAATCTTTCATTCTGGATCCATCAGTTTGCCTGTACTATTATTTAAAAAAAAAAAAACAATTTCTTTTTACTGTTATTTACCTGTCATGAAGTACTACTTTCAGATGCTCATAATTTTGGCAAACTGACTTTAGGATGATATTTTTCAATATAGGTTTGTGTCTCAGCCTGAAGGTTTTGAGAAAGTGTCCAAACAAAATGGTTGAGATAGTTCAGCTGTTTTAGCAAAAAATCCATAGGACAGCATTGAAGACACTGGGCTTTGAAGCAAGAACTAAGGATTTTTCAGGAGGGCAATTGTATCAAGAATATTCCTGTTTTTTCACTCTTGTAAATACATTCTTTCAAGTTGCATCAATTTACAATCTACAAACAAAAGCAAACAA